TCACTAAGGTTTCTTTCTTGCTGCGAAGAAAATCCCTTTTTTTTTTTTCTCATAATATCCTTAATCTGTAAAGAAAACATAGGTGTGGTGATTTTGACTATCACCAAACCCAACACACCTGTTTAAATTAATGGAATTACCTTTTGGTTCATATTTTTGCATATTTTACGATGAGGTCCTTTCTCATTTTTTTTTTGGCTTTCTGTTTGATATTGCAAACATCGAATTACTTATTATTATTATTGTTATTATTATTACTATTATTATTATTATTTTGTGGTTTTTAGGGTAGTCTGAAAGTATAATCTCGAACCGGCCCATTTCTAGGACGGTTACATATTGGAAACATCAAACCACTCCATCGTTACATATTGTGGTTTCAAATTGGCGGTCAGATATCTGAAACATTGAACAACCAAATTTAAACCTATATTAGGGCGGTCCAATGCTTCCAATATCGGATCACCCTAGATATGAGTAGATTCGATTTTTGGGATATCAGACCACCCGGAAAACCGCAAAAAATATATATAAGAAAAAGAAGGACATCATAAATATGTGACAAAAATGGACCAAAGGGTAATTCCATAAATTAAACTTGGTCCCTGCATAAATTTTCCCTTTCATTTAAAAAAGAAAATTTCTAAGTTCTCTTTATTAATTTTTGGGGTTTTTTATTTTTCCAAGATTCAGAGGTTTGGGATGAGTTTTTTCGTTCTTTATATTTGAGCAAAGATATCAGGCCAAGTTCAACCCACTTTGCATAAGTTGACTCTGAGTCTGCAAGAGCCTGGCCTGTGAAATATGTTTTAAGTTTGGTTTTGTGCAACTTATAGAAACTCTTAGGGTTTGTTGTTGAATTGATTAGCCTTAGTTTTTAACTTTTTTGAAAATCTTGCTTTAGAATTTCTATTTTGAGTTACAGAAAAATTTTCAACTAGTGGGTAAAAATGTAGTGGCATTGTTTTTGGGTACTCTTGGGCATTCACTACCATCTAGTTTTATTATTTTTGTGCACTTCATTTTCGCTAGCAAAGTTTATGAAATCTAGTTTTTGTCGGGTTTGCATATTACTAAATGCATATTACTAAAAAATGCCATTATATGTGATAAAAAGAAGTGAAAGGCATACTTCGATGACCTGAAAGGGAATATGTGAGGGGCTTGAATCATGTCTATCTAAGATTTGTTTCAGAATTGAAAAATAAGATTTGATTGCTACCTGAAGTACACTTCTCAAAATAGTGATCATGATCCGACTTGTTCATGTGATAGATAATCAATTTTGATGCTAAAAATGATTGTTAAAATTTACTAGTCCTTGTAATCAAGGAGTGCCATCATATGATTGTGAATTTACGCCCATCAACTGCTAATGAATTCTCTAGTAATGTATAACTTAGTGAGACACTTGTTTAGGAAAGATATGGTAAATTTCAGTTACAAGTTAGCCACAAATTCAAACTAAAAGTAATAAATATTTGACTACTATTCAATTTCTATGTGCGCACTACAATTCCTCTTTGATGCCATGTACTTTTGCTTATAAATCATCTCTTCCAAATGCTTCTTGTTCACTAGATCTCCTTAGTATTTATACTTCTATCTGTAGCTCTGTCTCATTGTGTGTCTTCACTCATTCCTCACTTGTGGTTGCTATTGTTGCTCTTAACAATTATTAGTTCAAGATTTGTCCCTCAAATGCATGCCCTAGTGATGCCTTAGTGATTTGTTCCAAATGTTGATTCATTGATCAGTATCTTCTATCCTAATAGGGATGAACACATACTGCTTCTTCAAAAAACTGTTCTCTATAAGCATTGGAAGTGTTGCAAGAAGACTTGATCATTTTGAATTCTTTCTGTGATTCTATTGCTATTTCTGATGAGGATGAGTGCAAAGTTGACTTGTGAGTAACTTGTTCAATGATCTAGAGGTCCTACTATATTTCTGAATTTGTAATTTTTACCTTGCTTATGATGTGTTCTGGTATGCATTACTAAGAGCTATTGCTACCTTAGAAGTTAATTTCTCTGTTAAATTAATATCCCGATTCTCTTTGCACTTTGACATGGCTTGTCATCCCATGGAGGACAAGATTGGACACAGCGTGGATCACTTCGTAATCATCACAATGCATCATCACAGGTTAATTGAGGCTAATGCTTGTCCTTAAGTAAGCTTTCAACCGCACTATCTCATAGGCAAGAGAGGTCACCGCCCCGTATCCAGCTTTCCATATGATCTTGCTACAACTGGTTAGTTTTCTCCTCGTCCATGTGGTTAATTTCCAGCAAGGATGGCACAACCCTATCGTGGATCACCTATTACTGATGATCCTGCCTGGTCTGTGTCTAAGAAGGGGGTGGGGGGGGAGGAGGAGGAGGGGGAGGGGGGAGAAGACAAATTTGATCTACTTACTCGGTGTGGCCTGTAAGTATCTAATATGCTATTTAAAACTCTTCATATGTCTCACGAATTGGCTGAAGAATAAAACGTGTTGCAAAGGCAGGTTATGTCTGGACCCGTTTATAGTTAGGTGGATCAACCTTCCTATCACCATTATACTCAGGGGGATCTCAGTTGTCAAGTTGAAGTTATGTATTGACTTTAATTGGTGAGTCACCTTGTTTGGCAACAGTCTTTTACAAATTATTAGATGACGAACACAATGGGAACATAGCAGTAAAAGGAACCATTGGCATAAATGCAGGCAGAGGTCATAGATACATTTATAGGATTAGGATATAGAAAGTGAGAAGGCTTAAAAAGGATGAAGATAGAAAAGACTTTACGACCAGATGGTATCCTGATAGAGGTTTGGAAGTGCATGGGGGAGATTGCCATTGACTGGCTGACCAAGCTGTTCAGCAAAGTGTTGAGAACAAAGAAAATGCCAGACGAATGGAAGAAAAATATTGTGATACCTATTTACAAGAACAAAGGAGACATACAAAATTGTATAAACTATCGAGAGTTCAAACTTATGAGCCACACTATGAAGCTGTGGGAGAGAATGATTGAGCAATGACTAAGACATGAAACGAGTGTATCAAAAAATCAATTCGGTTTTATGGAGGTTAACAACCGAGGTTATTTTCCTACTTAGGCAATTAATTGAAAAGTTTAGGATGAAGGGAAAAGACCTCCACATGGTCTTTATTGGTCTTTATTTATCTAAAAAAAGCTTATGATAGAGTACCTCGAGATTTAATCTGGTAGGTGTTGAAAAAGAAAGGAGTTTCTAAACACTACATCGACTTGATAAGAGATATGTAGGATGGAGCACTAACTAGTGTACGAACAACTAGCAGATAGACGAGTGAGTTTTTAGTGACAATAGGTCTACATTCAGGATTAGCATTGAGCCCATACCTCTTTGTCTTAGTTATTGACGATTTAACTAGGCAGGCACCTACAAGATGGGGTATTGTTGTGCATGTTGTTCCCATATAACATAGGTTTGATCAATGAAATCCAAAATGTTGACCTGACTTTGAAGGAATGTTCTAGAATCTAATGGTTTTAAAATTAGCTGGACTAAGACAAAGTATATGGAATGCAAGTTTAGTAACAATATGAGTAGAGACGAGGAAGTAATTAAGATTGATGGCCAAAAAGTACCAAAAAGAGCGCACTTTCGATATCTTGGGTCGATAATCCAGGAAAATAGAGAGATTGGGGAAGATGTCGCACATAGAATTAGAGCTGGGTGGGTGAAGTGGCGATATGCAACCAGAATTTATGTGATCGTCGCATACCAATAATGTCAAAGGGCAAGTTCTATAGGCCAATTGTGAGACCAGCTTTGCTCTATGGGGCGGAATGTTGGGTGGTCGAAAAACAAGCTACCCATAGAATAAGTGTAGTGGAGATGAGGATGTTTCGATGGATGAGGGACAAGACAAGAAGGGATGGAATTCGAAATACCTTGCGCCTTTGCATTCTTCATGTCTTGAAGAACAAAAGGTGAAGGCAAAAAATGTATCATACTACTAGTTAAATTTGGTTATTTACTAACTGGAACAAAATTATGTACAATAACATTCTAAGGAGAGGAGAAAATGAGAGATTGAGTCATTGAGATGGATTATTGGCTAGAGCGTTCAAAATTGACTAAAAGGACAATAAAAAAGAATGATGCGCCTTGTATGTGACGAAGGTTGGAACTAAGAAATGGTGGTATACCTTTCTGTCATGTGATTAGGGGCCCCTAAATCAATACATTTGAAGTCAAAAGATGTGGTTGAAAGACAAATCCAGGTGATGACATTACTTGCATTCTGAATGATTTTAAGAAGTAGAGGTATTGATTTTATCGAGGCATTGCAGTGGCCTTTTTCTAGAGATAAATTTTTGTGAAACCTTTTTCCGCATTGTTAGTTCTTTATGCTTATATAACATTTGACTTGACTCTGACTACATGACCTCAACCGAAGTTCTGTTTCTGAACAGAAAACTGCATCCGGATCAAATTTCTTAAATTGATCTACTTACATGATTCTCTTTCAAGTTGTGACACATGCAAGTAATCTGTTATGGTAGTACACCATTTATATATCTGAAGTTGCATACAAGAAATACATTGGGTTGTAGTGGTGGAGTTCAAAATTAATGATTTTTATAGCTCTTTATGTTGTTTTTTCTTTCTCATTGAGTAACATTCGGATTTGCCGCTTGACTTGAGCCAATCTGCTGTCTCTGCGTATAAAATGCATCCAGATCACATTGCTGAGATTAATCCACTTTACATGATTCTGTTTCAACCATTCAAGTTGTGTGGTGTGAAGATATTTGTTATTGTAGTACCATTTGTATCTCTGAAGACACATCCAGAAATATATAATGTAGGGGTGGGAGCTTATATGCTCAAGGTTAAATGAGGTTTGTATGGTTCATCGTGCATCTTCCCTTAATGCTTGGATCGCTCTGTAAAAATGACATAAATTAGCGTTTTACATTTTGATTTATTTCTATTTTCTTATTCCTATGTTAATCAGGTGGGACATTGAAGGGCCTTTTAAGCCATTGCATGCAATGAACCCTACTAGGGTGTCTTTCATCCGCTCAACACTCTGCAGACATTTCAGGTTGTACTACCAACGTTCTAAATTTTCATATTGTGTCTTGTGGTTGCTTTTAACTGTTTAGAGATACTCTCTTATGTGGGTGAGTTGGTCTATCAATGTTCTACAAGAGCTGGGACACGTCCCTGTGCGGATATTAGCATGCCATGGTTCAACCATCATTTGAGCATATATAGATGCCTTGTTTGGTGGTTCTAACAGATTAAATTGTGCTCTGGAGCCAAAAGTGTAGCTTGTGTTGTTCTTGCAGTTCTTTTCAAGCATTATCTTGTGGCCTAAATTATTGTTTTGATCTACCATGAAACTATATATATTCTGCGATTTGGTTTTTTCCGGAGATGTGATAGTCTGCACAGGTTTAATTACGGATTATATCGGAGGATCTCTTATTGGTGTCCAAGGTTTTTCGTCTTTCATTTTTCAAGTTTCTTGTATGCCTCTTTAATGAACCATAAATCATTACAACGAGGGATGGGAATACATGATATCGTGACCGCTTTATGTGTCATTTTAGTTAAATGCTAGCTATCTTTTCACTTTTCCATACTTGTCTTATCAGGAAAGATCCAAATTGTGCCAGGCCTTTGGAAGGGCTAAAAATTATTGATGTTGGTTGTGGAGGAGGGATTCTCTCAGAGGTATGTTTATTTTCATAATTTTAGGACTTTGTCTACATTCCTGAATCATGACAAGAAATCTATTTAATGAGGGCTACACATTAGCAAAAATGCATTCTTATGTTAGCTTCTATCTTTCACCCCAATAAAGACAAAATATAATTCTTAAAGTAATGATTGCCCCTACTATAGATCTTGTTACCCTTCTGATTATTATTGTATATTTAGGTGTAAATTTGTGTATGGTTTAGTAACTAAAAGTTATTTGACTTAAATGCACTTAATAATATATACTAGAATGGTTTATAGAATTAGATATCCTTACTAACAGAAAGGCTGGATAAACATTGGTAACCATCCTCTCTGATGGAAGAAATTAATTAGGAGCCTGTAACTATTGGATGATGAGGTGTAACTGTCCTTTTTCACTATTGTAGAGGTAAAACCGTAAAAGATTAAAGGCAAGGGCATGATGATGGTATCGTGGGTTATGTTTGTCAAAGGTACCAAACAAACCCTCTGGAATTTGGAGAGGTATGAGTAGTGTGAGTTTAGATTTCCATAGTGCTACAAGATTCATCTTTGGTGCCGGAACTGGAGTTAGATTTTGGACCAATATCTGATGTGGTGACTCACCATGCCACAAAAAGTTCTCACGATTGTTCTTGATTGCTTCTGGACCTTACTATACCAACACAGATTGCCTTGCTAATCAATAGTGGGGGCAGGAATTAGATTCACTTATCATTCTCTTGGAGTGCTCATAGACATCCTTCTTCCTTACCTTGGGGCAAGACTGTTGACCATTTGGGTAAACTATTGCACAAAAGGATCATATGGATGTGCTCCTGCTCTATCCACTTAGTTTTTCCCTGCTCCTCCCAACACTACGTCCCTTGGTTGGATGGCATTTAGAAAATATTCTCACATTCAACCACCTTCCCCTTCAACATAGGTTTTAATTTTATTTTTGTTTTCAATCAGTCCTTCAATAAAGTGGTTTTTCTTTAATATATGTGTTTTCCTATTATGAATTGGTATTCCATGAGCATGGCAGATGCGGAATCAGCATCTCACTTATTTATCCACTGTAGTGGTTCCTCCTAGATTTGGCCCTACTACACTAGACTTTTGGGCTTCGCTGAGCAGTTCCACTTTGCTTGCACCACCCATGCTGATGAGAGGCAAGATCCTTTGGTCTTTCCCATATTGATTGTAGTTTACTTGGTGCTTATGAAAAGAAAGAACGTAGCAGCTGAATGTGGATAATCTTTTATTTTCTCAACATTGATCAGGAAAGGTTTTCCAGGGCATGTTGGTCTTAGCAATTTGGCCCCACGTTGCCTAGTGTTTGATTAAATCATCGACTATTTTGGCAGTATGGGGCTCCCTTCCCCTTGGCCATGTGAAACTAAGATTGGAATTGAGTTTGATGGTAATCCAGGGGCCCATGGGGTAGGGAATAGTTTCATGGAAATTTTGCAATTTCTTTGGCCCTTTTGGGATTTGATTCTAATGAAGCTGGGAATGCGATATTATTCCCAATTTAGGGACCTTTGTTACTGAAAGGTGGTTCTAGCAACCTTAAAAAAGGCGATATGTGATGAGGTGGACTTCATGGATTATCAGATGATTCATTTATTTTCTCTAGGAGTTTGTTTCTATTTATTTTGATTTTTCCAGGGAGAGGTGTGATCTCTCTTATTTGCACAAGTGTATTGAAGCATTGAGAATGCCATCTCTCTCTAGAGTGGATCGCCCTGCACTTTGTAATAGTAGATTCTATCCTCTCTCTGTCCTTGGATAACAGTTGTGTCCCTTAATTGTTGTACAATTACAGAAATTTAATGAATTTCAACAGTAAAACCAAGAAGAAAATTGGATTCTAAACTCCCTTTGCTTGATGGAAGAACTTGAGTGACAATCCATTTGCACTTATTAGCATTAATCTTCACAAATAGTAGATTAGATTTAGTTCTGTATATATCTATTCTACAAAAAGTGCTTTTTTAAGTTTAAGAACAATGGAGTGAGAATTTAACCTTCCTAGTATAAGAAGATGCTGATCACAACTCACTGAAATTATCTAGGCTTCTAAGAAAGCAATTGGATTGATTAAGTTCCATGGACATGAGGTGCCAATGATGATGAGCAATGGGCTATTCCTTGAGATGAAGAACTGACAAAGAACATCAGGGTTATGATGCGGTTTTCAGGAATAGCGCTCTCCAATTAGGCACTAATTGTAGGTAGGCTCCACTGGAGGGCTTTCATCATCATCATCCAAGCTTATCCCAATTATTTGGGGTCGGCTAATTATAAGTTCAGAATTTTTGATAAGATGTGGCAAAGTTTTACGCTTACTGCTGACCTAACATAACTCACCTCCTTTACCCTGGTTTGGGAGGGGCTTTAAACTCCCAAGTAGATGCATCATGTGCTTGCAGAGGAAGAAAACATCGACCAACACTTCCGCCACTGCTAGGTGGCCTGTAATTTGTGGTCCTCCTAGGTACAATCCTGCGAATGGTCTTGGCCGACGTTGCAATCTATGCAACAACTCTTCCAAGCTTTCTTCTCCCCACCTACCTTGCGACTGGGCTCTTCCTATAGAGAACTTCTATTCTTGCCACAATTTGGGTCTTTTGGAGAGAAGAAACAACTTTATCTTTGACAGCAGATATTCGAGCATCTAGTCCCACTGCATAAAAACCTCCACAATCTTTTAGGCCATAGGGCAAAAAGGACTACATGCCTTCTCCACGACGGGCAACCCAGGGCAATTCTGGTACAGAGACATCCTTAGAGACTCCCAAGGGAATTCCACCCTTTCCTTTTCAGGCTAGATCGGCATTGTGGACTCTAACAATGGCCGAATTGGTTGCCCTCCTTGAAGGACTGAAAAGAACTATCAGATATGGAATCCAAGATCATAATCTTTACATCTAGGGAGATTCAAGTACATCTTTCTATACCAAAAGAGCCCCATGCACATGGAGACTTGCTGCATATTTGACAACCTATCTTTTCTACGCATGGGTATTCCTGTCACTTTCACGCTTGAGTGTCCACCGGATGGAGTAATCCCTTGCTTAGGAAGGGGCAGCCAGGAGCCCCACTCTGCGTGGACCTGGTTATGGGGTCCTTAACATTCATATACCAATGCACCCCCCTCCGCCCCCCACCCCCCCTCCAAAAAAAAAAAGAGAACTCCATCCTGTTTCTCTTTCTCTCACACTCTCTCTTTCCTCTTTTGTAACTCCCGTTTTTTTACTACTATGGGGCTGTATAGCAATATAATCTATATGAAGATCAATTTTGTACATTGGTGTATGGATACCCTCTTTTCTGTTTTTCTTTTTTTCTTTTTTTTTTTAGGCACTCGACTTGTGGGCTGCTCATTTCTTGGATGTAGGATGATCTACAAACTTTATTACAAAATACAATCACATATTCCCTCAAAAAAAAAGAAACAAAGGAGAAGGTCGAGCTGCAACTAAGGTTTAAAATCAAGACAAATTTGATCTGAGCTTTAAGTACTTTATTGCGTAGAATTTTTAATCCAAAACATAAAAGCTCATATTGGGGATTTTCCATTTGTTATTCTGTTAACACCCAGTTTCTATACTGGTAGTTGATCATTGTAGAGAGCATAGTTGTTGGAAACGCTTGGGAACCCGAATCGTTTTAAGAATCGGAATCGGAATCGGAATCGGGGAATCGCGGCCGACTAGAAGATTCCTATCTTAGGATTCGTTATCCGTACAATAAGAATCGCTAGGAACAAGATTCCTAGTTTTTGAGAATCGTGTTTTGACTGAAATAGATCCAAGTTTCATCCATATACGGAATCGAGATTTTGTCCTCCTTGGAATCGAGATTCCCATCCCCTTGGAATCGACACTCCAAGAGTCAAGATTCATTAATATGCGGAATCAAGTTTCCGACATTTATAGAATCAAGTTTTTGACATATGTGGAACAAAGATATGTTGTTTCGAATCGTGATTCTAACATATTTGGAATCAAGTTTCTAAAGTATATGGATCAAAGATCCATGCCTGTTTGAGATTGAGATTTACAATAATATGATCTATGGAATACATATGATGAACCCTTCCAGGAATCGAGATTTCATTTTTATGGAGAAGGAAGCCACAGGCACATCTTGAGCCTCATCAACTTTAGAACCTATATTGGATGTCTCTTATTAGAAGGTTTCCCAAATTTTAAAGTGATTGTGTTGACTATTGAACTTACGGTCATTATATACAAAAGACAAGTATTTCTAAATTGTTATTTGGACTTCATTATTATAAAGATAAAATAGGATTGTCTACGCCAAGGTTTTACTTTTAAAGATAAAAGGGCACCCTTTACAGCCCTGAAGCTTTGAAAAGTGATACACAGGAGGAAATCTACTCGAAGGAGATAGGTGGGGGTCCACAAAAATGTAAAGCCCCACCAGGGTGTTAGAATAGGCTCCCTCTTTAGCAAGACGATCGGCCTCGGAGTTGGCTTCCTGAAAAACGTAGCGCCACGAGATTGAGATAGCCCGGGACAAATGGGGTATCTCATCAAAGATGTCATCTAAATTCCACGGGGAAGGAGAGAGACCAGATGCCCATGAAATGTTGGTCTTGGAATCCCCTTCCGCCTCCGTTGTGGGATTCCAAGAGTTGTGAAATCTTCGGAGGCCTTCCAATAAGGCTCGGGCTTCAGCTAGGGTTGAATCTGCTATACCAATGGGGCAAGAAAAGGTTAGCAAGGTCTGGCCCTCATTGGAGCGAAAAAGGCTGCCTATTCCAGATGGGCCAGGGTTGCCAAGGGAGCAGCCATCAAAGTTTAACTTGATGGAGTGTAGCTCGAGTGGTCTCCAAAGAGATGAGTTTGAGATCCTGGGCTTTCTCACAAGAAGTAAGTTGTTCCAATTTTTATGACAATCAGTGGAGGGGAAGTCTTTGGACAACTATGATTGGAGGCTCAGAATGCCTCTAAGTTCCTTACTTTGTCGGCCAAAGC